TCCAGTCTCTTCTTAAAAACTTCCAGTGTCGGAGCATTCACTGCTTCTGGAGGCAGGTTGTTCCACTGGTTAATTGTTCTCACTGTCAGGAAGTTTCTCCTTAGTTCTAGATTGCTTCTCTCCTTGATTAGTTTCCACCCGTTGCTTCTTGTCCTGCCTTTCTCTTTTTCTTTGCTCTTGATACCATGTTTTATTCTGTCTCTTTTTCAAAATAACATTGCAGACCGCTAGCAATGGGATAAATTGCTCTTGCCGTAAGGATTTTAATTATGTTTTTTTGAAGGCCATACAAGCGGAAGCCAAGGGACAAAATGGCCCTAGGACTGCATGCAGTACCTGCTGTAGGTCTCAGGTTTGATTTTTGGCCTTGGCAGTTTTGACAAAGAAAAAATCTACTTGAAACCATGGAGTACAACTGCCAATCATTGTGACCAGGACTGAGCTAGGGGCTCCAGTGGTCTGACTTATACACGGCCACTTTCTATTGTCCAGTGCCCTTCCTTAATTGGAAATGTGCTGTTAAAATTTCATTCCTAGTATGGATACAAAGATTTAGCCCCCTCCATGGTTGTGTAACACCAAAAAATGTTGAATTATTAATTTGAAATCCAGTCAGATTTAAGGTTTATAGCTCCCCATCAATTGAAATGTGAGGCATGGTTTGAATGAATAATTCAGAGAACTCTCAATAAGTAGCATGGACATGAAGAAAACTGGTAGCTAAGAAAATGAATACATTGATTAGGCTTCTAGCTTATGTCCAACCCAATAACACTAGCTGGTAGATTTCTTTTTTATGGATCAGGAGCAGCATTATATGGATAAAGAAAAAAGGAGGATTTGTTTACAAAGAGCTGTCAATAATCCATAAATATTTTTCCCTTGTAGTTCTCGGCTAGTTTTGCTTCGAGACTCTTCTTCCTTCCTCCCTTCCCCCCCCTCTCTCCCTTCCTTCCTTCCTTCCTTTATTCATTCATTCTTTCTTTCTTTCTTTCTTTTTTTCTTATAAAGTAAGAGTGGTAATTAAAGGCATTGCACTAAAACATGAGAACCATCAATAAAAAAAGCACAACAAAGAATGCTCTTCCTGATTCAACTCAGATAGTTCAGATTGCCCCAGGAATTGTTGATACAGTTCCACGGAGCAATTATCGAGTCTGTCATCTGTACTCTGATAACTGTCTGGTTTGGTACAGCAACCAAACAGGACTGGTACAAAGTCCAATGGATAGTTAGGATTCCAGAAACAAACAATTGCAACCAGTCTGCCTTCCACTGAGGAACTATATATTGCATGGGTCAAAAAGAGGGCTGAGAAAGTATCTACAGATCCCTCATATCCTGGGCATAAATTGTTTCAACTCTTCCCCTCAGGTTGTCACTACAGGGCATTCCGTGCCAAACATCTAGACACAGGGACAGTTTTCCCCTCATGTCATCATCTGCTGAACTCCTAATCCTCACACTATTGTTTTATGTCTAAGTATATTTACTCATGTTGTATAGCTATAGTATTATTATCCTTTTCATTTCTCTACTACTCCCTCTTACTGGAATCATATTATCATTATTATTACTCTGTTGTTTTGCCTTTACTTTGAAACCTTCTGCACTGGAGACAAATTCCTTGTGTATTTAATCACACTTGTCTAAATAAAGTGTTCTGTTTCGTTCTGTTCCATTCCACTCTATAGATTGTGAGTTCTAGTCCTGCCTTAGGCCCTAAGGCAGCTAGGAAGCTTTGAGCCAGTCTGTCTCAGTCAGCCTTAGAAAGGATGCAATATCAAAACACTTTTGAAAATGTTGCCAACAAAACTTCAGGGTCTTATCCATGTAGCTGCCAGAAGTCAAGACTAACTTGAAGGCTATGTATAACACACACACAAACACACTTATACACACACGGTGTACATTATATAGAATATATATACATATACATATATATATATATATACGCACACACACTGTACAGTACTCTATATACTGTATCCTGTGTTTATATAAGTGTATTTGTGTGTATGTTACACAACATTGCTAAGATGTTGCTTATATAATATTATCAAAGTTAAGTGCTTTAAAACACTCATTATACCACTTCAAGAAAGTATTTTGTCAAACTGAAGTGATTATTTAGAGTTATGTTATACTTGAGATGTTTTTTTCTTTCTTGCCTCATCATGAAACTTTATAAAATGTAGTTTTAAGAATGTCTATAGTAGCGAAGAGAAATGCTGAGTCCAATTAGTTGAGAATTGAAAAACCTGATTTCTAAATATAGATATGTATCTTTAATGATATTTTTTTCATAAGGATAATACATTTCTTCTGCACGCGGAGGTGACATGCATAGCTCCTACCATCAAGTCAAGCGAATCCACTTTATTTTACCAACTGAGCAGCTGAGAAACTCTCAGCAGTAACAAGATGGATTTCTTTTTAATGAATATTTTGAGTAGGTCTCCTATCACCAAGAAACTGGCAGGGGTGATTATTCAATAGCCAGACCATAGCAATGAGCAATAGTTTAAGATGTGTGCTGTTCCAGTGATGTATGCCAGGTGTGATGGCACGTTGCCTCTAAGAAAGTGGTTACAAGGTGGACTGTTGAGTTGTTCATTGTTTTCCCGGCCAAATTTATATCTATTCACTCTCAGAGCAATAAATGTCCTCAGGGAATGGTCACCTTACAGTTTGCTGCCAAAT